GAACAACATAACGGGTTAGGGTAACGTAACCCTATTACAACAGAGATCAACAACCTATAACAGGGCTTATGCACAGCATGCAGCTATTCAATACTCATTCTTCTTTAAGAATATGAGCATGTCTTCATGCTCAGGGGAAAGGCGGGTGCGGAGGCGGTTCACAATCAGGCGAGCTGTAGAGAAGACCCTCTCAGCTAGAATTTGGGCATAAGATGAGGTTTGAGTCTGCGTGACCTGCGTGTAGGGAGCGTGTAGCAGCAGCCATATCATTAGCTAGAACTAGCTAAATCTGATGGATTTGGACATAAACGCGAGTGAAGTATAACTGGACGCGAGAGAGAGAGAGATCAGCACCTGCAGCTCTGCCCGCTGTGAGGGACCGGTGAGCGGAGCAAAACACACCTTTAGACCTAACACACTTAGCTATGGCACTGTCGTACACATTGAATTATTACATTTGATAATATGTAATCAACTTAGGCACCCCTCCCAAAAGAAATTCAAATATAAAAAATTACAATACAAATATTCATAACTCATATTCTCATATTCGAATACCTGAATAATTTCCAATATTCGATTAATCGTTCCCATCCCTACTACAGACACATACTGGCATTGGATTACATGATAAAAGGCTGAACCCCTGTCCTGTGTAATCCACTGTTCTCCATCAGGTTTTCTGCCAGGTACTTCAACAATGCCCCCCCAGTGTTTCAGAGGCTCTTCTTCACCAGTGAAGAGGCGTCGGCTGTTCAGTACGGCCCGCGGAGGATGAAGCTGCGGGACCTCATGGGGGCCACATTGCGCTTCCTCCAGAGTGACTGTGCCAAGTTCCGGATGCTGTGGGACTGGAGCCCCTGTGTGTCCCAGCTGCTCACCAGTGATGTCATAGTGCGAGGGTATGTACCGTACCTGGGGGGTCTTCAGGGGCCACAAGAGGGATTTCCAAAGTATCCACTTAGTTAGCAGAAACTTAGAACTTGCTAAACAGAGTCAATCTAAAACATTAAGTGTTATTATTCTCTAAATAATGTTATAATGTTGTAGTAATAATGATAGTTTGTAATCATTCACCTATATGATGAAGATTTCACATTGTTTTTCACAAATATGGTTCAGGTTTCTACAATTGGCCTATTTGACAGAAGACGTTTTGACACATTTGTAAATAACAAACTGGCTGACGGCTGAATTTCCTGCAGCTTTTTTCCATTCGAGGGTCCTGGCGTTGTTCATGCCAGCTCAATGTCGCACAGTCATGGCACACACCACAGGATCATTTAAAAAATCCAAGTTACTCTTGTTGGCTTCTACAACCGTCATAAGCTTTATTCTGAAACAGTAGACTAGCTTAAACTAGAAATGCTCATTTGGACTTGTTGAGTTTATTTGGCAGTGTTAGGTTTCTGAAGCAAAATATTTTATTTTATTTTTATTTTACCTTTATTTAACCAGGATAGGTCTCATTGAGATAACAAATGTATTTTTCAAGAGAGTCCTGGCCCAAGAATGGTAACAGTACAGTTATAGACAATGTATGTAACATTTATCAGTATAGTTAACAAGCTGCAAGTATTAATTTAAAAAAAGCAGTGCAGTAGAGTGTGAGAAATCACCAGATCAGCAGCTCTTTATATAGCCTCCAGTGTTTTCTCCTTTAGCATTGTTAGCAGAAGTGATTGACAGCTCTGAGATCAGTAGGTCATGGAAGGAAGATATCCATTGCTTGATAAATACAGTATGTGGGGGTTTCCATCGTGTTATGAGAATTCCTTCTTCTGCGGTTAAACAAGCGTGAAGCACCCTTTTCTGATGCTTTAATAAATTGATAGAGGAATCATCGTTCAGCTATACAATGTTTGGGAGTCACGGTATCTGAACTGAGCTCACATATAATGTCAAGAACTCTCGAACTTTCTACAGCTTTTCTACAACATCTTGGCCTTCTTTTGCTTCCTGCTTGTTTACCTTACAAATGAGACTTACTGTGTTTTCTTGTTGTGTGTCACAGGTACACAGCCCAGTGTTTAGCGCTGGTCTCTCATATGACTGATAATCAGAAAACCATCTTCCAGAGGAAAGTGCTGACCAGTGATGAGATCCTGCACATGAAACTCAAGTATGTTCCTTTTTTCTTTTGTCATATCAGATAACAGCCACTATAAAGTGTTAGAAAATACTAATATATATATATATATATTTAATATATGGCTAGTCTTATATATTATGTTCTACATAAGGGGAGATCTGTTGCATTTTTTTATGAAAGGCCAACACTTTTTTTTAAGGAGAAATCGAACTAAACAAATACTACACAGTACAACAAATATTTATTTTAATAATTTAAACACTTTCAAGTATTCTGCAACAACCCTATAATGTGATGTTGTAATGTATTTCTAGGGTTATTTTGCTGTTTAGTAGAAATGTCAACCAAGTCCAGTGAAAAATGGAACAATATATAACATAACCCGGGATGCCTCGGTGAGTTCGTATGAAATGAACCATTAGTAGGGCAGAGCATTATGGGTTAGAAGTTTAGTTTCCATATCCATAAGTGGTAAAACAGGTTTTCAGATTTTTGTTTTTACTAGGTAGGTACCAGGGTAGGATTTTCACGGCGGCCATGACGGCGATGGCCGTCGTAGCCCATCGGTCTGGCCGTTATGCCCCACAAATAATTGTATGTCCTACGGCCACCATGGCCTGTGTGCCCCTCACACTGTTAAAATCGCGAAGTTGTTTTAAAAGGGTCAGAACAGTGTTTTCTGAACTGCATTAGGCTGCGTTCACAACGGACGCGATGCAAATATTCTCATCGCTCTAACCGCTGGAGTTTCACCGCGGATGTCAGCTGTGTTTACTCCTGTCATTCAAACAGGACGCGCTGGAGAGGGGGCGGGGCTTATTTCAATGTAAATACTGTGATGGAAACCAACTACGAGAAAATTAACCTATTTTACAGTGATTTAATTGTAATACACGTTTCAAAATTATGCTGAAGTAACTACATACTGATACCGGTTAGTAAAAAACTTGGATTAATGCTTTGCCAAGTCTGCAGACAAGACGGGGGCGGGGCTGACACACAGCCAGGTCAGGGCACTCCGCGTGCACGTGCAGCAGCGTAGCAAACAAATTAATAATATAGCAACAAGCGGGAGACAACGTGTGACTTACTCGCGGGGAATTTAAAGTGAAATGGAATTGG